AAAAAAAAAAATTAAAAATTAAAAAAAATATGTCCATTTCCCTACATTTTCAAATCTGTTTGAGAACGTTATAAAGTCTACATTTTTATTATTTTATTTCAGTAGGTTCTTTATTCTGACATCCATTTTGCTCCTTATTCTAGTTATATTTGCATTCACCTTTTCCTTTGTTAGATTTTCCATGGACTTGATGAATTTATTAATCCATTAAAGAACAAATTTCCAGTGTTGTTAATTTTATTATTTCTGGTTTGTTTTTGTTTTGAGGTTTGTTTGTTTGTTTGTTTTAAATTTATACTCTTGTCTTTGTTATTTTCTTTCCTCTGGAGAGGTTTTGTTTTGTTTTGCTGCTATTGTTGTTCTTTTTCCAGTTGTTTGAGAGATGGTTTAAAGTGTTGGTTTTAATTTGTTGTTCTTTTCTGATGTCTGCGTTTATTACTATAAATTGTCTCAAAATACTAGTACTGAACACAAGGGGTTCTTTCCATAATTAATTGCCAATGAAACAGACAGACTGCAATATCCAAAGCACTTTATTGCAGATCTGGGAAGACAGAGAGAACTCTTCTCACAAATAGCCTCACCATCTGGGATTGATCACTACTTTTTATACTTGGGACATATACTAATCTACCTAACACTATTTGTTAGTAAAGCTACAGAATTTCTACATTTAAAAGAACAGTTTACTAGTAAAGAGACAACTTAAGAAATAGATATGACTGAACAAAATAGTTTTCAAAGAGGTAAATGCTAACCTAGGTAAGATGCATTTCCTACCCTGGTAAAAAAGGCACTTTACATTATATGACTAAAGAAAGGGAAAAACTAAGGCAAAATAACTAGTAGACTGGAGACAACTGATGTTGGTTTTATAACTATACTGTTATGTTTTGATAAGTTTGAATTTATTAGTGCTATCCCATTAGTACTGCTCTTGCTATATCCAAAATATTTTAATATATTGTATTTCTATTCACATTTCTTTAATTTTCGTTAATTTATTTTTTTAATTTTTCTTCAATTACCCATAATGTTAAACCTGGTTGCTGTTCGGTTTCTATGTACTTGGTCCTTCTCACTGACCTCTTTATTCTTGTTTCTAATTTGCTAGCATTGTGATCTAAGGGGATGCTTTCTAGTATTTTGAATTGAAATTTATCTGAGTTGCTTTGTGACTTTTGGTCTATACTAGAGAATGTCCATGAGCACTGAAGAAGAATATATATTGTCTTCTCCATCTTTTTTTTTAGTTTCTTTCTATTTATTCTACCTTGAATTGAAAGCAGTTGTGTATTAAACTCTCCCACTATTGTTGGTGGACTTGTATATTTATTTCTTAAAATTTGTTAAGGCTTCATTTATGTATAATTTGACTCTATCATTGCTCCCTATTGGATGCAGAGATATTAATTATAGTTATATCCTTTTGGGATAATATCCATACGCATGCAAAGAAAGGTGACCCAACAGAGTGTGAAAATTATCGAACAATATCATTGATATCACATGCAAGCAAGATTCTGCTGAAAATTATCCAAAAACGTTTGGAACAATATGTCAACAGAGAACTGCCAGATGTGCAGACTGGATTTAGAAGAGGTCGCGGTACTAGGGATATTATAGCTAATATCAGATGGATCTTAGCAGAAAGCAAAGAATACCAGAAGAATGTCTATCTGTGCTTCATTGACTATGCAAAGGCTTTTGACTGTGTGGATCACAACAAGCTGTGGCTGAGTCTGAGAAGAATGGGAATCCCAGAACATTTGATTGTGCTAATACGAAACTTATACTTGGATCAAGAAGCAGTTGTCAGAACAGAGCAAGGAGACACTACATGGTTCAAAATCAAGAAGGGGGGTTAGTCAGGGATGTATTCTGTCTCCATACCTTTTCAATCTGTATGCAGAACAGATCATCCGAGACCCTGGGCTATATGAAGAGGAATGTGGCATCAGGATTGGTGGAAGAATCATCAACAACCTGCGTTATACAGATAACACAACCCTGCTTGCTGAAACTGAGGAGGACCTGACGTGCTTGCTGCAGAAGATTAAGGACTACAGCCTCCTATATGGACTGAAGATCAACGTCAAGAAAACAAAGATTCTAACCACTGGGCCAATTGGCAACATCAGCATGGATGGTGAAGAGATTGAGATAGTTAACAGTTTTAATTTACTTGGCTCCACAGTCAACATTCTTGGTAACAGCAGCCAGGAAATCAGGAGACGAAGTGCATTGGGAAAGTCAGCTGTTAGGGACCTCTCAAGAGTACTGAAGATCAACGATGTCAGGCTGGAGACTAAGGTGCGCCTGATCCGAGCTATAGTCTTCACAATTATGAGCTATGCATCAGAGAGTTGGACAGTGAATAGGGTTGATAGAAAGAGGATTGATGCCTTTGATCTGTGGTGCTGGAGACGAATGTTGAATATACCATGGGCTGCTAGGAGAACAAACAGGTTTGTCCTGGAGAGGGTGAAGCCAGAGTGTTCCCTAGAGTCAAGGATTCTGAAGCTTCATCTGACATATTTTGGGCATGTTGCAAGGAGGGACTGGTCCTTGGAGAAGGATATCATGTTTGGCAGAGTGGAGGGGTGGCGAAGGAGAGGAAGACCTTTGATGAGATGGATCGATTCTGTGACTGGAGCAGTGGGAATGAGTGCATTTGAGATGGCTAGGTTGGCACAGGATAGAACAGCATTTAGAGCTCTTGTACATTAGGTCGCTATGAGTCGCAAGCGACTCGATGGCACATAACAAAACAACAATATATCCTTTTGCCCAATGCCCAATTCCTAGAACAAAATAAAGGTGCACATATGAAGCCTATCTGCAGTAGTGACTGAGTAGTGACCATGATGCTATACAGAACTGTTCTATTAGAATAAATTCCTTCACATTTATAGTCCATTTCTTATTCCAGTGGAAGTAACTTTATTTGTTTTTAAATGAGCAATTACAATGAGAAACTTTGAAAGCAAAATAGTAATTCTTTCGGCACAAATTAACTCATTAATTACAGAAGTGGAGGTCTCAAAGCATGTAATGATTTAAGTGATCTCTAATGCTACATTTTTAATGTGATCATAGTGACAACAGAGGCTTTAGTGTGATGTTATTCAGTCATTTTGGGTAGATTTTAACTCAGAGGTTTCTTATATTTACTCAATTATAGGAAAAAGTCTGGAGTTCTTTTTTATTTGAATATTTCTAATGATGTCTTACAAGAAATACTAGAAGAAAACCAAGTAAAATGCTACTAAACCATTGTCTGTGTGTGTCAGTCTTGGACAGATCACTATTTGCAGTGGAATATGTCAGAGTATCCAGGCGTGAAGACTGTTCGCTTTCCAGATGGCCAGATTTGGAAGCCAGATATTCTTCTTTATAATAGGTAAGTAAGTTCATTAGACAAAAGGAAAACTAATTCTATGTGTTCATGTATTTAGAATTAAGTGTATTGAGTATTTTTCTCTCACTGAGTAATTTTGAATGTCATACTGAATCCATTACTTAGGACCATTGCTCCCCAACTGTTTTCTAAGTGGCTGAACTTCTGCGAAGCAGTGGAACAGATTCATTTAGTCATTATTTTCCATGCTGACTGACAATTTCTCCAATCTGGCATGTGCCTGAAAGGATCACATCTGCAGAGTTGTATTGAATGTGCATGATATTATTTCTATGCAGATGAGCACTGGAGATATTCTGGAATGTATGAGGTATACTCACTAAATTCAGCCATATGGTTAACAATAGCAGCATTTACTGGCCCTGAAGATGTTTCATTAGAGTTCACTCTTTTGTCTCAATATTCTTGTGATATGCTCAACTTTTGTGTTGGGAGAGTTTTGCTCAGTGAGAATTTTCTAATGTAGCAAAAGCTTACAGAATAAGTTGTATACCTGACATAAGAAAGGTAGTTAGGCCATGTTCTAACATTTTTTATCCTATTACCACAGAATTAGGTATAAATTAGCAAGCCAAGATAGTTTGATAAATGGACTTGACTCCTAAAACGTAGATATTCAGGCAAATTATATTTCTAGAAGGAGTTGCATACACTAGGTAGTTAAATAAGAGATCTCGAACATCTCCTTCCAAGAAAGTTCAAAATGTAATAAATTCCTTTTAAAGTCTAACACATATATAGAGAGTATATATAAAACTCTAGAGTTTTCAGTTGCTTATGTAGATTACCAAGCATTTATTCTTGATTATTTCAATGTATAATGCCAAAAGGTGGAGTAAACTTTCTAATATTTTGATTAGCAGCCAAGTGTTTAATGTAAAATAAAAGTCTTTCTAATGATGATTGCTGTCTTTGACTCCATTCAGAGAAAAGAAGCAAGCATTCCTGAGTCAGAGAAACAGTGCTATCAGCAGACACTGACCTTAGTGGTCAGATTCCCAGTGGGCCACTTGACAAATTCACCATACACTGACTACTTCCAGAAGGTGGGGTGATTCAGTTTGTTCAATTGCTTTCACATTCTTACTCTGTTTTTACTGCTGGTAATCCGTTGAGGCTGTCTCTACAAGAACATCTCTTCCTGATCTGCTGCAATTATTTTGCTCCTTAAATTAGTTCAGACAAAAAAAAACCAACAGCTATTAGTTTATACAGCTTTGAGAAACCACATTATGAGTGAGTGGTCTCAGAGGATAGAGGTGAATCACGTGAATTATTTGTTTCCTGGGGATGTTTTGGTTAGCAGTCAAGTGTATTAGCCATTTAAAGTACTCAGCTTCACACAAAAGAAAATTATTACTAATGATGAAAATTCTGTCTTTAGTCCTACCAAGAGTAGTGAAGGACAAAAGATTAGGGTCGAGTAAATAAAACTATAAGTCTTAACCATGCAAGTTAATATATCTACTAGCGTTGAGTCTAAGATTCCTTCTTAAAGAAATTATGGCTTACCAATTTCACAGAGGTTGTAAGGCTGACTCCATGACTGCATATAACTAAGAGTGTGCTTGGCAAAGAATTAGCATTCAAAGTGGCAGTTGTATATTTATAGGCATAAGCATGAAGATTTCAGCTTAGAATAAGATCATGTAACAATTTTAATAGTAGCAATATTATTTTTCATAGTTTTTGATTAAAATCTTTCATCTAATATCAAGAATAAATTTTACAACATGGTGGAATATTTTACAATGAATCTATAAAAAAAAGTAAAACAAACAAAAGAAAACCCCTTTGCTAAAAAGTTGATTCAGACTCATGACAATTTTACATATTACCAGAAAGAATGACTTTATAGGGTTTTCTTGGATATGATATTTATGAAAATAGATAACCAGACTGTCTTCCTATTTTGTCATTAGGCAGGTTCGAACTGCCAACCTTAGTTAGTAGTTGACTGGAAATTATTTATGACACTAAGCTATAATGAGTCTATAAGAGATAGTTTTTATGAGTTATGTGTCAATCTGCAAATTCCAGCTAATAAACAGCTTCATGTTTTTTAATGAAGAGTCACCAAAAATTCCAATTGCAATGAGTATACCATTCTCTCCCTGATAATCTGGCCAGGGAGCAGTCCCTCCTGGATAGTGGTCAAATTGATGATCACAACATAAAATATTTCAGAAAACAGAAAAAGATGGATTTCTGCAGGCTTATTCTATGAAGCAAATATATGTTTGATACCAAAGTCAGGTATCAAAATAGAAAACTATAGACCAATATCTCTCATGAGCATAGATGCAAAAATCCTCAATAAAATACCGGCCCATAGAATCCAACAAGTTGTTGTTGTTATTATGTGCCATAGAGTCTCCTGCAACTGATAGTGACAACAGCCCTAAACCCTGCATATGTGCAAAACCAAGAGCCAAACACATCCTCAATGGAGAAAGAATAAAGCATTTGCTTTGAGAACAGGAACTAGGCAAGGATGTCCATTATCACATTATTAATTCAATATTGTATAGAAAGGTTTTTTTTCTATAATTATATTTTATTAATTTTCATAAACATTTACAGAGATTTTGGGCTTCCACTCATTCATTGTTGCACTATTCTCTCTACCCT